CGTGCTACCCGCCTCAGAGGGTGTCTTCCACTTCGAAGTTGCAATAATCGTGACAAAAACGAGTAAAACCCACCAGGCCCAGTTGATACCGAAGTTGCGCCAAACATGCGAGTGGCTGTACGATAGTGACGCTAGATAGTTGTCGCCAACCACGAAGTTCTGGCCTGGGATCGCGCCAGCCACACCGGCACAAGCTTGATGCGCCTGGACATCCTCATATCCGGGGCCGTTGGGGATCAGATTCGTTCCGACGCATGGGATGACGGTCTTATCATGGAATTCAATACTTAGCAAAGCCTCAAACCCATAAGCAAGGGGGTCGATCCAGAAGATCCAGCCGAACCACGGGTGCATTGCAGGCTTTGGGATCATGTAACCGGTGTACAGAACGGTGAACATGATTAGCGAACCAGAGACTTTAGAGGCTCCATCGAACGTAGAGAATAGAGCTCCTACGGCCCGGAAAAGAGCAGTCATAGTCTATATAGTGATTAGTTAACAACCAAGTGAGAAATTTGGGAGGCACTGACCATTGTCGTTGTGAAAACAATAATCCAGTAGGAGAAAAAAGCTCCAGCAGACATAGAGAGTCCAACCATGAAGTAAAGAACGAGACCAAACATGGAGACCTGGAAAAGCAATACAGGTATGTCTGCAGCAATTTGGGCAAGACAGAAAGCGGCCGGGTGGAAGTAAGCGAAGCCCTTGTGCTTGATCAACACAGGTCTTCCAGAGAAGGACTCGTTCACTTCACTCATGGCGAGCAAGCTGTTGTAAAGAAGGGAGAAGAAGAGGGCACCAGATTTGATGAAAAGTCCACCAGAGTTATCGGGAGCATCATAGAACAAGGAGCCGGCAATCAAGGCCTGGCACAGTGTTGCCACCTGCTTGATGATGAACGTAGCTTTGTCACCCCAAAGAATCTGGTACTGGCGCTGCACACAGATCTTAACCTGGTCAAGGAAGCCAACGGTGAATGGGCTGTTATTAGGCAGGCTTTTGGAGGTTTCAAAAGCCACTCCTTGCTTAAATTCTTCAGTCCGCTCGCGGGCGAGATCGGAGTCTGGGTAAGAGTAATCCGCTACCATCTCAGTGTAGATAGGTGATTTTTCATACTCAGCTCTCAACGCCTCCGCGTTACGCGGGAAGCGACTTTCGAAGCCATCCCGAATTCTACGCTCGGTAGGCACGGTGACACCGGTAAGGAAGTCGGCGACGTTAGACCCTTCGCGGCAGATGAATCCGGCTTCCTCCATGAATGGCCTAGCTTGCTCTCTAGTACCGTAGAAGATTTGCTCTCCTTCATCAAGCACGAGAACTTTGTCGAACAAATCGTAAATGCCGTTACCAGCCTGGTAGAGAGTAACCACGGTAGACAGGTTGAGGGTGTCAGTCATAGCTCGGATAGCCTTCGTCCATTCGAGGGCAGTAGAGGCATCAAGGCCACGAGTCGATTGATCCCAGCAGAAGACAGATCCTCGGGTGGCCATACATTCGATGATGGAAACTCGCTTGCGCTCACCACCACTAACTCCACGAACGTATTCATTACCGACCTTGGTGTCCTCGGTATGAGAGATTCCGACGGATTCGAGGAGGAACTTTTTCGATGCCTGTTGGTATTCCAAGGCAGTCATACCGTCTGGCAGATGGAAGGGCACCTTAAGTCGCGTGGCGAAGTCCATAGTTTGACCCACTGTTAGTGCTGGGAAGAAGATCTCTTCTTCGGTGTTCATCACAATCTGGCCTCGGAACGTTTCAGCCTCCTTAGGGTTCATGGATCCAAAGCGAACATCGCCTTCCACTGATTTGTACCCTCCCCGTCGGTTGGCAAGCATTTTCAACAATGTCGTGCAGCCAGAGCCGGGGCGACCTAACACAAGCAACATTTCACCGGGCTTGACGCAGCCATGACTCTTGTTGAGGATTGTCCGTAGAGGAAGCTTTCGCCGACCCTCTTTGATTTTGGTGGGAATATTGAACTGGGAGAGAACAGTCTCATTCACAGCGGCCTCTGAACTTGTTACCTGTACGGAGAGATCCTGCCATGTGACACCAAGTTCCTGTTTCTTGAATCCAGCAGCCAGGTTGCGATCGTTCTCCTCCTGGAGCTTGGTCATCATACTCCAGTCATTTCCCTTTAGTTTGGGGCTCTCCTTGCGGGGAGTTTCGTCGCCTGTGATCGTCATGGCGCTTTCGGTATCGAATTGGATATCATCAGAGCTTGCGCCCAGTCCTTTTTCTGACCCCTCCATTATGACGGGGAAGGGGGAAGGAATGGGAAAGGCGTTGAAAAAGGTCGATTAGTAGACGCAGATACCAACTTGGGGGACTCCATCCTTATATGAGAAAGTTTTAAGGGTCCACTACAACGGCCCCGAATGGCCGAGGCCGAAGCAAACATTGCTTTGTTATTGGCAGCATCAAAATTTTGATGCGGAGCCCCAAGTGATAAAACACATGTTTTGCTCTCGAACCCCTGTTAAGAGTCATAAATTGATAACCCAAAATGGGTTCGGAGGGACTTTGCTGCCACCGAGCCGCTGACTAATCGGCTTCTTCGCTTACCCAGAGTTCCGATTGGAATCTTGGCATCTCTCGGTCTCCGTCCGCGTATGAAAGGAACTGAATGGGGATAAAGGCCGATGACCGAAGAGGATGCTCATTGGATGAGAAAAGTTGCTTATGGTAAGAATATCCACGGATGACACTATCATAGATGGATAACTATCCCGTCTTATTGACAAAAGCCGAGAGCAAGATTAATAATCGACAACATACCTAACTATGTGGGTGAATCTGAGGTGATTAATATAATTGGCCGATGATAACAAGATCTGATACCCAAATGCATGTATATACAACTTTCTGATCTCTTGACCGACTTTCGATTCCTCATATAGTTGCTAACAAAGTAAAGATTCGAAATAACAAAGTGAAACAGACTGTTTGACCCCACCTCCTATATTTCGTCGGAAAACTATGAGGCTGAATGAAATTATAACAGCTATGATCAATCTTGCACGTTCAATACTACAAAGGTCCTGAGCACGGCCTGATAACATCATTAAATGCTGCCTAAAATCATGTTGTGGTCTAAGCCTAGAGGCTACTCTTAACTAGTTAAGACCCGATTATAGATAGTTAGCCGGAAACCTCGTGTTCGGCTTTTGGGCTTATGTAACCCAATTATCCCCGTGGATTTTCGATCTGCACATGTGTCTTGCATAGGAACGTAAGAAATTTAGCCGAATCACAGTTTTATAGATCCACAATCCTTCGAACGTTCCAACTGGCACCAAGCTTGCGCCAAAGACGCGATTTACAGTAGCGTTTCATGAGTATTTGCACCCCAATACTTCTACCGTTGACCGCCCTGCCTATACCGCCTGCTTATTACTACTGGTATGAACCCCACATGCGCAGCAGCAGCGTTACAAGTGAGTGGATTAAAAGTTCTTCCGGCAGAAAATAAGTGGCTTCCGGAATACTAGGGTGCAAATACTCATGAAACATGACTATAGTTATATTAAAAGAGTAAATGCATAAACCATTTGACTCGGTGACTGAACTTTTGTCTACTTAAAAAACAGAAACAGTGATCACTTTCCTAAAACAAAAACTGTCACATCCCTCGGACTCTAGCCCTCGTCGAGGAACACCCGAGATTGCACACTTCAAGATGATGATCATGTTTGGCTTGACATATCGTTCGTTTTCAATGCATGAGGTTCATGAATGGAACGTGATATTCAAACGTTACGTATGGAAAAGTTCTTTTGCACCCTTTACACCCAGCCACGGGTATTTTGTTAAGTGCTATGTAGGCAAGGCGTCTTGTCCTTCTACATATAAGAGGAAAGACACCAGCAGAGACATCGGAAAATGGGTGAGCCAGGATACTAGGCCAACAGGGTGATGGCATGCAAATGGTCTACGGCTTACAGCCCCACCAAAGCCCCAAAAGCCTGGTTTATCAGCTCCGCCGCTCCCAAAAACCTCGAAGGGAGGCTGATCCTGCGTCCCCAGTAAAGCAACGTGAGATAAGGGTCGTCGATAGCAAAGGCTTCAGTCAGAAAGTGCCCAGAATTCCTATCAACGCCAAAACTGACGGCCCACGCAGGAGGCATGAAATGAAGCACCCTTGTCTCTGGCGATTAGTGCCAGGAAAAGCGTAATGCACGAACTGCCACTGGCAAGACAAAGAAACACGATGGAAGTTTGTACGGAATGTCCAGAGCAACCGGATGGGCTATTAGGGCCTTCAAAAAGGAGGACAACAAGTCGAAAGCGCCCTCAAATGCTTCAAACGCACAGACAAGGCGAGGACGAAAATCATCAATATGGGCCAGTGGTTCCCTGGAAGAATATATTCATAAAAATTAAAGAACATGGGTTTGTGCTACCATCGCTGAACTTCACTCCAGTTATATTTAATACTGGGAGTGTATGTCGCTATTAGCTTCGAATGTAATCGTTTAGATCTTAGGGAAGAATCATAGAGTTGTCTAACCAAAGAGTAAATGCTATTGAATAAGGTGTCAAATCGAATTTCTGGGCTATTGGGTCTGCTCGTCTGGACAAGAATGGAATGATGGATCCAAAGGAGCAAGATAGAATGAAAATAAAAGTAACGAGACTATAGGAAGCGCCATGTATATGAAGTCATCATATACTCATGCCTGTATAGGCAATCAGTGGCAATGTGGGATGGAGGAATGAGCATATCCCAGTTCGGATGAGTTTAGAAAGCTTTCGATTATAGACCCTCGCGCGTGAGGCCTTCAATCGCTATTTCTTCCTTCCCTCCAACCCTCCTCTGCTTTTTATGCCTTCTCGTTCTCACCACTTCATCATCCATCCATCCATCCATCCATCCATCCATCCATCCATCCATCCATCCATCCATCCATCCATCCATCCATCCATCCATCCATCCATCCATCCATCCATCCATCCAATCCATTGATTTGATCACATTTCCATCCCATCCATTAAGCATGACGTTATCGGGGTAAGGCTGATCTCCTTAGGCGTCATTGTGGGGGGATACACTAACATTTATAGTCGATGTCTTGCACTTTCTCACCTGCCTAATGCCACGAGCCTCCCAGCCCCCCACACCGGGCCCGACGAGCACCCTCCAGGAGAGTGGGCCTCCCATATCCAGGTACTTCCTTACGATTGCGTACGAGATGGATGGGACATCTTGCCTCCTTTCCTGCGTTTCCTCGTCACCCTCCCACCTCGCCGAGAACCCATGTTGCGGAAAGGCATTTCCTGGGATGCTTTTTACCTAAACGAAGAGATCGGCAAGCTTTCTGAGCATGTAGAAGCGGCATACATGTTCATGGTCGGGCGTCGTGTTGAGTTGGAATGTGTGTTGTGCCAACTCGGAGGAGGCGCTTTCCCCTACTGCGTAGTCATCGACTACGAAGATGGTCAATCTGAGTGCTGTAATTGCCTCTGGGAATGCACCACCGACGGCTGTTGGCTCCTTGGAAAACGCGGCCAATTTTTCACTCAATGCTCGCTCTATGAGCAATCCCCCTAGTCGACATGAGCCATTGTCATACTATGACCTGGTTGGAAATTGGGATTTGTGCAAACTTCAAAGGCTTCTCAAATAAGGATATTCACAAAGTTGTATTTGTTCTATTACAGGACCTAGGACACTAATGCAACTGTAACAAACTACCAATTAAGGTGCCATATTTCGGGGGTGAGGTAGATACAATTATCCTCCGAGGTCTCTTTCTCTCCTAGGCCGTCTCTCCAGAAAGCCTCGAAGAGCCTACGTTAGTTTTTGCTGTCCCGAGTACAGCTCCGCCTGCAACTGTCCGGCCAATCCTCCCGCCACGAACGTCCCCGACGATATGGCCGTTGCTACCGCCTTCATGGGAACCGCACAGTCACCCGCTGCAAATACTCCTGGGACGGAGGTGCTGTAGAACGGCTCCGTCGTCTTGATATTGCCATCGGAAGTGAGGTGCAATCCTAGTTGATTGGCGAACGGGCCATTGATTTGGGTTTTAGGCTTGTGGGCCTGCAGGTGGTCAGGATCTGCCACCATCGATTGCAGTTGGGTCTCGAGGGATACACACGAGGAATCCCTCCGTTCTATGGGTACCATCCTTGAATTCAACGTCCACATCTGATGGGCCCGGTCCCTTGACCAGCCGTGTGATAGGTCTACTATCGACCTTAATGCCCGTATGGTAGCTTGCTTTCTCGAGTGCCTGGGTGACTTCTTGCGCGCCGTGCGTAAGATAGTGACGGTCGTAGCAAACCGTCGGGCCATGCGTGCAACGTGCATCGCCGCCATTGTGTTGGCCATATCCCCAATGGCGAGCACTCCGGCGGCTTTGCAGCCTTGTTCTTCAAAGCCGCGACAGAAGAGACAGTGGAATCTGCCCGATTTGGTAGCTATTTGTATGGCATTGCACCATGTCGAAGACATCGTTTTGGCCACCAAACGGCTCGCCGAAAGACTGCAACCGGGTGGTGTGCTTCTGATTATCGACTGGGCGGCGCGTGGTTTGTCGAATGAGACTAAGCAGCAAGCTAGCATGGAATAACCCCGTCCTCGTCGGAGGACCATCACAATCACCATCACCATCACCACCATCACCACGTGCATGAGGGAATAAATCCAAAACACCCTGCAGCCCATACCATCTCCTAAGGTAACTTTTCACAGGACCAGATATTCTCCCCCTCGAACAAGCAGGTTGTGGAGAGTCGCAGTTTGTGCTGGCAGATCGACTATCGCCCATTCCCGGCTCTCGGAGTGGGCAGATGCAACTGTTTTTGGCTCGTTCAACTAAGATGTAATCTCTATCGGTTACAGTCTTCCTTAATTACTTCATGCATACCTAAGAGCATTGCTTCATGATCTTATCTACTAGGCAGTGGTGAACCGTAAGGAAGAATGGCACTCGGGATAGTGTGACAGAAGAAGGGGGATGGTGCCCAGCAGGAGTGAACTCCCAGATCCATTGTACTCCCTTTGAGTGATCGCGAGCGGCAGCCGACGGATAATATGCGCCAAAGTGGGAGTGGGCATAAAGTGTACTCATACCGGAATTGGTGTTACGGGCGAGAGCAGGGACAGATAACGTTCATTTTCTTTGAGATGTAGTTTGCTTGTATTTTATGTTTGCATACGAAATCCTGTACAATGATTATATATCTTGGAAAATGTACCGAGGAATCTTATACACGTCCTAGTTATTCTCCGTGAATCGAGAGAATGAAGATGTTCTTCATCGATGTCTGCTGCACTGGGCGGGAAGCGCAGCGAGAATCTCCTTAGTACGATATCCCATCTCCTGGTACCACTGGGTGTGTATCTTATTTGATGGTCTTCTTGGTTGAAACCCCCCGTCGCGAGGCCCACTACGTGGATCCGCAGCCTTTTTTTGTTGTTGCAGAATTTCTTGACTACAGTACTGAATGGTATCAACGCACCGTCGCAAATCACGCCGTATCATTGCAGCCCGGAAGATCTCTTGTTCCTCTGGATCGAATTCAAGACATCCAAACTGGAAAAGCGGGGGCTCTGAACCGCCACTGATGACCGATCTAGGACTCGATTCACTACTTGGTGTCTCACACTTCTCGGTCGGCTGCTGAAACAGACTGTTTCGCCTAGACGGATTATTCTCATCGCCTAAGGGCACGGAGTCTTCTTCGCCCTTAGGGCGCTGGGTCGAGAGGATCACAACCTCATACAGCCCTACGACCAGATCCATGATGGTCGCTACCAAGAGCGGACAACTATGGCACCGTTGAAATTCGTCGGTCTTGCTTATCTCCCGTACCCTGGCCATGGCTTGCCGGTTCAACTGCATCGCTTGATCGATCGGGACCTGGGGGGTCTGGAGCTGCTCTTCCAAGCACTCGATGGTCATCATTAAGGCGGCGGCTTGTGGGTAAGCCGACATCACCGACTTATCGCGATAACTAAGGGGGATTGGTGCTCTCGCGTCGGTTTGTTGTGCCAATCGGGACCGCACCGAATCCGCCGTCCGCTCCTGGGTGGTGAACCCCAGAGGGTGCTTATTGGACACGCCATCGGAAGTGGAAATCCCCGGGATGTCTGGACATAGATCAGGGAACAAGTTCTCCGTTCCCTGCCAGAAAGGATCGGTCATACCGGGTGAAACCGGCGGCAGATCCGGGTAGTTGCTTGACAGGTCCTGTAGATAACTGTTGATCTCTGCGCCGGCAGAGACGGCGGTAAACTCCTTATTTGTGAAAATGGGATCATCCCCTATTATATTATTCACTGCAGTGGGTCGATGGCTTGCCATGGATATGCTAACTAGCGGTTGCTGGGAAGACACGCTTTCTGGACCTGATAGAGGGAAAGTCGGGCTAGGCGGAACTCGTGATTCTTGTGGATGGGGAATCCAGCCACTCGCCTTCTTCCGTTGTTTCTTTGGCGCACGGCCTACCATTGAAATCTGGTATTCGCAGGAAAGGCCATTCCGGCGACAGCGGTCACAGCCATACTTCTCGCCGCTGCAGCGGACCTGGAGATGTTCATCACGGTCAGGGTGTTTGCGTATGGATATCTATCGCTCTACTTGCAAATAGACATACCTTAGCAGCGTAGCACTCTGTACAGGCAGATCGTAGGCGCAAAGGTTGTCGAGTACCCAACATGGTAATCCCAACGGCTATGATATAACGGGGGTGAGAGCACTCCAAGGGACATATGTCAAATGGTCAACCGTTATCTCATTGAATCTGGCAGTTTTATGGTAGATAGTACGACGATCATGTTGGAGAAAGAGAAGTAAGGAAGAAAGAATCCCAGCGCTGGAGGTGTCGGAGACTTATTGATATTCCGGAGACTTTCAAATCACGCTAACCCGCATGTGGTTTAGCGTACTGGTTGTACACTGGGAAGGTCATTGATTCCCCAACCCTTTCTACATATTGGAGACAGGCTCTCCACTACACATTGCCCTCGCCTCTTCTTATTTTTCTATGTTTGTTATGTAAGGTTTGGGTTATGAGGTTACAAGTAGCAGATAGACATAGATTGAGAATACACACTCCTACACCTCTCTGAATCCACTTCCTGGGCAGCGTACCTGGGTTACTTTGTATGCAAGGTTGGGTATGAAGCTGAACCACGTGTGCTGAATTGACCCGTATGTCTTAGAGCATACTGCCTTGAGCGTTCCCCTCTTTAATATGTACTCTCCATTGTCAAATTACGGCTAGGGTGCATGGCTGTAGAGAGAGTACCATCAATCTGTTTATCTATCAATAAGAATCCACTAAATTATATAGCTATATAGCATGTGTAGCTGATATATTCGCATAGTGCCGGTCTTTTTTTCCCAGTATATTCTGCACTTTCCCATCGCCAAATTAGATCAGTAACTCACTCAGACTTGTTCTCCAGTCTTTGGCTGGCAATTTTATGAGACAACCCCAATATAGACTTTGCTAGAATTTCCAAAATAGGGATAGTGCAATCCATAGATCTTGATATCCAGTTGCGCAGCTCCACGGCCACATAGGAGTCAACTCCATACTCGGAGACTGGATTAGAAGGATTGATATTTTCAACGGGGATAGAGAGGTGTGAGGCAATCTTTCTGCTGATAGCGTCGCAGATTACAACCGTAGCTTGATCCACCGTTTGTGCAGCACCAAGTTCAGCCTTCAATCCTTCCATCGTGTCACCGAGACCGGCAGATTTGCCACGAGCCTGGAACTTGTACCTGAAATGGGCAAACAAGGGCGCGTCAAAATTCCCAAGTGATTCCATTTCTTTCCATTGGCCGAGACCAGTTACAAGTTGTGCTTCACCGCTCGTCGGCTGAGAGATTGCGACTTGTATGATGGATAAAAGAGTTGGTGTATCGGTGCCCTGGAATCCTTGTCGTTCCATTTTAGCCGCTAGATCACTGTTTTCGGCTAAATAACCAACGTCTGTGATTGTCCCGAGATCCAAAGATACTGCTGGAAGACCCAAGCTTCTTCGATATGCAGCGAACGCATCCATGAAAGTGCAGCCAGCAGCATAGGCAGCCTGTGTAGCATTCCCAACAACACCGCTGATAGACGATAACATCAGGAAGAAGTCAAGATTCGTGGGGAGATGTCGGTGCAAATTCCAGGTGCCATAATACTTCGGTCCCATAACATCCCGATACTCATCCAACCTCATATTTTCAATATGGACATCCTTGAGAACCATGGCCGCCTGGATCAGCCCCCGTATTGGAGGCGCACAATAAGAGAGATTATGAAGCATTCGTTGGACTTCAGTCTCGTCGGAGATGTCACAAGCTCGGGTAGTCACTTGGATACCTTTTTCCACCAGACTCTTCACTGTCACCTGCGACTGATACTTTGAAAGGCCGCTTCGGTTGACGAAAATAAGGCTCTTAGCTCCGTTTTGCGCCATCCAAAAAGCGACCTCCCTCCCAATTCCACCAAGCCCACCAACTAGTATGTATGACGCATTTGCACCGAACAATGACTGTGTGGACTTAGGGAGCGTGGCCTAGATCTCATTAGCCGAATGCAAGTAGATGTCCTCTGGGGGATGGATAAGCTGTACCTTCACAAGATCATTCTCTTCTGCGTGAACCACGACATGTTGTCGGCTTTTAGTCGCTGTTATTGCCTCTTGAATATGTGAAACATGATATGCATCGGTAAATCCAGGACCTTTGAGTCGTCCGTTGCGGAACAAGCTAAAGACCTTCGGCCATATCTGGTTGGCAAGGTCTGCCCTCTCCTTTTGCAACTCAAATATATTGACAGTGGACAGGGACATGTTCTGCGGGCATGATAACTGTCGGGTCTTCAGGTTGTTTGTCCGAAGTTGAATAAATCGACCAAATGACGCAGTGCAAGTCTGTAGGATTTTGTCCTCTGGGGTTTCGAATGTGACTACTACGTTTGCTTTCTTGCCATTGGTCAAGCGTAACACACTCTTGACTACATCATTCTTCCCACTTATGAAAACATGCTCCTCGGGTATCCCGAACCTCGAGCGCAGAAAGTCCTTTTCGTCGGGGCTCTGCACTGTCGCAAATATCCGAGCGTCTCTCAACAAGTACACTTCCAGAAGTGCTTGGCCGAAATGACTTGCGGCATCGTGGATGAGAACGGCATCATCAGACTCAACCAGTGACAGATAGTTCACAACATAATAGGCAATAGTATATGCCAGAGGCAAAGCCGAAGCTACCTGGAATGACATTTTGTCATCGATCCTCTGGAAAGCTGATGCGAGATCGCGATAAAAGCTTCTCGCGGTGCCAGCTCCGAGACATGCAACCCTGTCGCCCACAGTGATGCCGTGGGCCCCAGCACCGACCTTGGATACAATGCCACTACACTCCAGCCCGAGAGTGTCGTCTGTTTCCCAATCAAGATGATCTGGCTCAATATCCCATTTATACAAGCCAAATGAGTGTACTTGAATTTTGACGTAGCCAACAGGGAGTTCTGCCATCTGCGAATCACCGACAAAACCCGTATTGTTAAGTTTCCTGGAAAGCCGGAGGGGCTGCTGACGTTGATGGAAGCGCTGCTCGGATACAGCCTCAATATCATGAATGCTGTTCATGGTGATGTTTGCCTTCAAATTCTCTAGTACTCGTGGAATCAGGATCTGTCCATTTCTCTCCGCATATTCCGTGTCTTTGTCTGGGTTTTCACGAAGAAATCGGGCAACCAGAACATTTGCAATCATCTCGGCGGCTTGCAATTCCGAGAGAGGATTTTGAGCATCCAGATCAAGGGTGACGATCGGGTTGACACCCGATTCGGCACGTGCTGTCCTTGCAAATCCAACAGCCAAGGCCACGTTTGGGTTGACGGGCTCAATTGACCCTCCTTTTGTGATCCAGAGTACTCCCCCACTATGTGTAAACATTGCTTTTATCTTGCTGAATGTAACTTCATTGGTAGTGGCCAACAGGGAAGAGTTTGAGGTGTCAAGGACTAAACAAGTATGATCCTTGAAATCCGCATTATCGACGTGTGTGACATTCACCTCACATGAGGCCTTCTCGAGATTAGTGACTAGTTGTCTGACAGTCTCGGCTTTTTCCTCGCAAATGATGGAAACCTTTCTAGAGGACTTGTGGCATTTTCGCTTCTTGGCCACGATGAACTGATGGCTCTTGTCAGAGTCTTCCTTTGCAAATGCATCAACCTCAGTGAAATGCGCATCTTGCAATATCTCGTCCCATTGGCTCTCCGTCCAAGCACCCTGGCCTAGACAGAACTCGTCTGCAGACAAGCAGTGCAATGCACTGAACAAGAGATTTTTCATCACATTCTTCTTTGGGTCGAAGGGGTTGACTGCAATCAAATAGCCTGATGGCCTCAAAAGATCATGGAGTTTGCTAAGTGCACTTTGTTCACAGCGTGCAGTACACAATCCATGAGGCAGTATTATAATGTCAAAGGAATTTTTTTCAAACCCTTGTTTGGGGAATTCTTTGCCAAGATCCATGGGCTTGCATTCAACCCATTCTGACCACGCCTCCAGCCGCTTTGAGGCATGTTCAAGCACAGAAGCACTTTCGTGGGCAAATGTATATTTTCCACAATGAGGTGTCTTGTTACGTGTCACAAGATTGTTCAGGAATATTTTTGCTATCTGGCCTGTGCCAACGCCAAATTCAAAGATTGAGATATCTGGTTTACCGTGGCCAATCAAACTGACATATTTTGCAGCTGCTTGGTACGAGTCGTCCGCTGAGAATATATCCCAGAACTCATCCATGAGGCGATCATCTTCAATGACCGTAGAAAAATCAACTTGGTCTCGAATAATAGCCACAAGGTTCTGGCCAATGGCCGGCAGGAGCTTTCCCATCGGGATGGAATGGATATTTTCCAAGCATATTGAGGGTTTATCATCATGTCTTTCGAGGACATCTTCCAGGTAACAGCGGAATCTGCGGTGAGAAGAATCGAGTCCCATTGCCTCTGTTGTGCTGACTTCCTCTAGCGCAGCTCTGATGAAGCCGGCTGCACTCTCTTCGTACTCTGTTTGAAGTGCGGGCTCTTGGACAGCACACTCGTTGGCAAATAGAAATGACGCATTATTGCGGGAAAGAAAGCTTGGATCGGGTTTCCAGTCAATCTGATAAATCAAGCGACTCTCATTTTTCTGTGATGCCGGTTCATTGCGCGCCAGCCGCGCACACCGTAGGCCACGAAGTGAAATAGTCGGCTCGGTTTCGAATTGTCTCTCGTTACAACTCACCGCGACTATGCATGCCGTTACGTGCTTGTTTGGCATTGGGCGCACATGAGTACAGATGCTCATGAGCTCTCCTGCCGAACAACTGAGACTGGACGATACAATCATTTCTTCAATGGAGACAGGGACTGCAGGTCCTTCCTCAATCCCCATACCTGAGGGTAATGCCGCGAAAATTGTGTGAAACATACTATCCAGGGTGCACGGATGAACCAAAAGCGCATGCTGGAATGATGCAGGCATCACGGATACTGTATCTGGTACAGTGACTTCTGCAAAGCACGCCCCATCTTGGGTAACACGTGCTTTGGTGATATTCGCAAAGGATGGCCCGTATTCTAAACCGGAATTTTGAAGCTTCTCATAAAAGTCACGGACGTCAATCACTGATATTCCATGAACTTCAGTCCCCAATGGAACCGTTGCATAACCATCAGTTTCCTCGACTCCATCGCCTGAAACGCCAATGCTTTTCTGTGTCCCGATAAAGCCAGTGCAATGCTCAATCCATCTATTCTCCTCTGAGATGGAATATATATGGAAATCGTACAAATTTTCTTGGTCTTGTGTCGACTTCTGAAGAGATACCATGATCTCGACAGGAGAAGTTTCATTGAGTACCAGAGCCGATTGTATTGCCACATCTCGCAGGATGTATCTAGAAATACTTTCTTCATCTTTGTTCAACTGTATTGATGCCTCGATAGCCATGGCCAGATACCCTGCGGCAGGGAAAACAATGTTCCCTTGGATCTTGTGATCGAGAAGCCAAGGGAGCTCTGAGACTCGAAGATAATTTCTCCAGCGAGGTTCGAATGGACATGCCGAGTTGTCTGGCGCACCAAGTAAATCCATCCGCGGCGTCCTTCGGTTCCGATACATCTTGCTCAGTCGTGGCTCTGCCCAATATGACCTAGTGTGATTCCAGGCATACGTTGGAAGATTACCTAGTAGCTGCGGCTTGCTACCTTCCTTGGTCCCCATAGGGCGGTTGATTGCACTAAAAACAATAGGGTAGTTGAGTGATGCTAGTGTGGCGACTGCGCCAAGAGCTGTGGTGACTGCGTTGGCCTTACGCGTCAGAATGCTAATATAGGTTATATCGGCAGCATTGAGTTTTGCATCGGCCTGTAGAACTTGCTTGATCGGCCCAGAAAGTGCCGCATGGGGACCAATCTCGATGAGACAATCCACAGAAGGCTTTTGGGATGCTCCTGCCCTTCTTATTCTGGGAACCCCTGTATTCCCAGCACGCTGGGCATTTGTCTCAAAACACAAAGTCCTTAGGGACTTGGCAAATTTCACTTGCCCGACCAAATTTGACACCCAGTACTGAGCATTCAATTCTTCCAAAGGAACGCTCGTTCCAGTGACCGAGGAAAAAAATGATACCGACCTTTCTTTCATGTCACCTGTTACTTGGTCCAGTCCTCGGGGCTGAATATGTTCTATAAAGCTGTGATACTTCTCGGCGACCTGTTCGATATGAGGAGAGTGGTAAGCGACGCCCACTTCAAGGCGTCGACTGAAGACTTGGTTTTCTTTCAATGTTCGGGCGAGTGCATCAATCGCAAGTATATCGCCTGATATAGTCACACTCGATGGACTGTTGACACACGCTACCACTAGCTGTCTGGACTGGAATTCGTATAGGTAGGGCTGAACCTCTTCGGCAGACATTCCAACTGCCATCATGGCACCTCTGTTTGGTTGGTCATGCAGAAGCTGACTTGCCACAACACCTCGGTAGTATGCCACTGACATTGCATCATTCATACTGAGTGCGCCAGTAGCATATGCAGCCGCAATTTCCCCGCTAGAATGACCCGTTACAGAGTCTGTATGAATACCCCACGATTTTAGCAAGTCGACTAACGCAATCTGTAACGCGGTGCACACTGTCTGGCTGAGACTTGGGTGATTCAAATCGGATTCCTCGGGGCAGTCTGTGATCTCCTCTGTATCCACCATGTCAGTACACGGAACCTTTGAAAGTGTGGTGTCTTTGTACCTTCCACCGTAAAAGGAGCTCCAATATCATTCAGAAATCTGTCGATGCCCAAAATTGATGTTCTGAAGACAGGATAGGCCTGAAGCAGCTCCTTTCCCATCCCGGCCCACTGTGCGCCTTGCCCAGTAAAGACAAACCCAAGGGTTGGTTTACGAACAGCGCTCCTAGCTTTGAGATTCTGAGTGAGCGAGGTGGCCAGCCCTGCCAGGGTATCTCGGGCAACGGCTGCCTTCCATGGAAAGACAGACCGACGCTCGTTGACTGTGTATGCAAGATCATCCAGGAATTTCTCATGGTCAACTGCATCTGCACTATCGACGATGTGCTTGCTTAGAACCTGTATTTGTTGTACACAGGTCCTTTCATCGAAACCAGAGAGCATAAATAGGCGGGGCAAACCAAGCAGTGAACTAGAGACTAACTCATCATGGCATTTGGCTGTGGTCAACAGAGCTCTGTCGTCTCTCTCAAGTCCCCAGCTAGAGAGGTATCCCTGAACATCTTCGACAATGACATGGGCATTGCTTCCGCCGTATCCGAAGCTATTCACAGAAACACGACGAGGCCCTGTGGTATCCCAAGTCTCAGGCTGCAATTGGACCTACTAACGTTAGTCGCCAATTTTATACTTGCCTGAGTATCCAAACCTTGAGTTTCCAGTCGTCAAGTGGGATGCGCGAGTTAATCTTTTCAAAATTCCTATTTGGCAAGAACATGCGATTTTCCAACATCAACACTGCCTTGATCACACCTGCTATTCCGCTTGCCCCTTCCAAGTGGCCGACGTTGGTTTTGATGGAGCCAATCCGCACAGGATTTTTAGGCGGACGACCAGATCCAAAGACACGAGCGATTGCCCCTGTCTCAACTGGGTCTCCCGCTTGGGTACCTGTCCCGTGAGCCTCCACAAAATCTGTTTCCGAGGGATCCAGACCAGCCCGTGCATAGACGCTCCGAATCAGGCTTTCTTGGGCTGCCCCATTTGGCAGTGTTATCCCTGCAGTGCGCCCGTCTTGATTGGAACCGGTGCCTCTTATTATGGCCCTGATCTTGTCCTGGTCGTGTAACGCCTTGGCTAAGGGTTTAAGGATGAGACAGCCAGCTGCCTCGCCTCGCGCGTACCCATTAGCCTTTTCATCAAAGGTATGGCATCTTCCATCTGAGGAAAGAAACCTAAGCCTAAATCAGTCTAATATTTCCAGTCACGGGTAATGTATGTCTGACATACTTCATCATGGTCATGGTTGACATAAACTCATGACTCAAAATCAAATTGACCCCCGCTGCAATCGCTGCCGACGAGTCCCCTGTCCAGAGACTTTGGCATGCCAAATGAAGTGCAACAAGGCTTCCTGAACAAGCTGTATCTACCGTGACACTGGGTCCTTTCAAATCGAAAAAATAAGACAGCCTGTTTGCTGTCATTGCACGTGATTGTCCGGCGTTTGTGCACTGATACATGGGCACACACTCAGGATCCCGAAGTAGGAGATCTGTATAATCTGCTGAGAAGGACCCTACGAAACAGGATGTCTTTGTGCCCATAATTTTGGCCAGAGGAATGCCAGCTATCTATCATTAGCCTTGGAAGCGTGATTTGGAGCAATGACCTACCATTCTCAAGACCTTCATATGTCACCTCCAAGAGCAATCTCTGCTGAGGGTCCATAACCTGGTTTTTATGGTTAGTTGAGCTCAACAACATTTGAATATTTACTCACCGCTGCCTCATCGCTTGTCATGTTAAAAAAAGGCGCGTCAAACACAGATATATCTTCTTCCAAAAAGTGGCCACCTTCCACATTAATCTACTCCCACATTATTGATTATTCCTACTCGTTCCACGTATCACTTACCGTCCCGTGGCGAGCATGATCTGGATGATGGAATGCTGCGCTGTTCCACCTCTTAGCTGGAATTGGGCTCCATGCCTCTCTACCCGTTAGGATCATTTCCCACAGCTTCTCGACACTTTTGGCATCCCCTGGTCCCCGAAAGCCTATTCCCACAATTGCTATCGGTGCACAGGAATCTGTAGCCATATTTTCTAGCTCATCCTCCGAAGTAGTCGCTTTTAGGGAGTTGACGCTAACTTGTGGCGACATTGTTGCTTTCGGTTTGCTAGACGCCAGGCGATAACCATATATCTCATGAGAGCAGTGGGCTTTCCTGTATCAAAGTGATCAGTTTACATCGGGATATATGGGAAGGTTTCACCTCAATTCGCAGCGAGGTAAGTAGGTAAGTATCCGGGTGCAACCCTCAACGGCAAAACAAAACTCAAAGCCCGTGAACGTCTCGATCTGAAACAAAATTTCTTCCTTCGAAGAATCTGCAATATACCATTACAACATCTTACACGCTATGTTCCACAACCGAAGCCATACTACTCCCCTCTTCCAACAGACTTTTCCTCACTCAACATTTGCCCCTGTCGCACAGCCGAAGCGAAGACCCTTAGTTCGGTATCTGGTCTCACAAGATTTGACTAGACAGTTTTCGAATTGCACTAGCAATTATGGCGACATTCTTTCCATCACTGGGGACATCATGACCTTTTCCATGTACGGCAAATGTCGAACATCTCGCCGCACAGAGTCGATACAGGGTCATTGAGTATTCAAAGAGTGGGTCTTTGGCGCCAGCAATATGCACGCATGGGATGGAGATAACCCCCTCTAATCCTTCATCTACGACAGGACGCTTCCCAGGTTCCATACGGAAGGGTGGGAGGGAATTAATGAAGATTGCACATCGAAATAGCGCAGGCTCCTTTGGATTCATCTTGGCATGGTGGATCATGAATCCCGCAGCCAATGTACCGCCATGGGAGAAGCCTAGAACCCCATCGAACGGACCTTCCAAGGCAACTGTTTCACTGAGTTGCTCGTACGCCTCCAAGATATCTGACTCATCACTGTCCTCGTGGGAAAAGGTGCGTGGGAAACGATAGTAGCTGTAGTACGGACCATCATAGTAACCGGCGATTCCAGGCCCGGGAGCTGAATCGACGTCACCTTCAAGAAAGGAGAAGGTCGCGGTGTTGTCGCGTTGGAGCTCATGCATGAGCCCACCTATTTGATTAGAGTTTGTGTTTCGTCACCTGAGCAGGAGATTGCATACTCAGTTGCGACTGTAGAATCTATTGGTTTATTAGGACACCATCACCCCCCTATTAGCACATTTCGTACATATGTAGCTTACCTTCTGATTCGTCCCCCAGCCATGGAGACACAACAATCTTAGTGGCATTCTGTTGGGTAGCGGTAGACAGATTAAGCAGAGCAAAAGTCGCCGTTGTCATCAAGAATCACTGCAACTTGCCATGATGAGGGTCATGTCTGCCTGCGACACTTTATATTTTCCTTTGTGGCAAACAATAAACCACGGCAGAAAAGGGATTCAACTTGTTCGGCTTCATTTCGGCGATATGCACGAACGACCAGGGACCCTGAAACTCTCTGCAAGAAGACAGATCCACTTTGACCTAAACTTGGCGAGGCTATCAGTTACACAGACACGTCGATCCGAGTCGACATACTCCACGTAGTCCACGTAGTCCATGCAGCGTTGTACTCACTCCAATTCATACGAAATTCACGGCGGTTGTAGATTCACCATTGATATTTTCAGGTTTTTAAACGTGTGTGCCAATCCAGGTCCTATTGGCTTCCGTTCAGCAAAGATTTCCCACCTACATGGTTTTTTAGGCAGACTATGGCGTGATAATCAACTCATAAGCACTTCCTAGGTGAAGTAGGCTTTTGGGATGTGCATAGCAAGATTCCGAGATGCCTACACCCAATACCTTAACTGCCCCAATCAGGCTTAGTCGCAGATCAATGACTCTCGAATGTCGGCGTTGCTTAGTATTAAGATAACCTTCCTTTGGCGCGATATTTACCAGCATCTATGCAACATTCATGATTTACCAAACAGAACACTCAATATATTGCTCGAATCCTCATGCTCTTCGTATCCCACGTACTGCGCTTTCACGGACCCCATCAACCAAAATTTCCGGATGAGGAAGGCACGATGATGATTTTCTCCTCAAGTAAGTGGGCTTCCGAGGTCGTATGGCTTGTCGGATCCCTCCTTGAACTCTATGAATCATTGCTCTCATTCCACCGATGAGTTGGTTGTTCCCGATAACGCTACTACACTGACTGCACCCTCCCTCGAGGAGCTGTAGGAAACCCTTAAAAAATCAAACAATAGCTGACAGCCACTCGACGGTCCTGCTCCCGGTTTCTCCTCGTTTATGACATCGACCATGCCCTGCTGACGAGACTCGAACAGGAAGATATCTTCCGAGGTGATAGGGCCACGATTACCTGCCAGGATACCCAGCCAACCGGTTATTTGCAAACAACTTTCTCGCGATAGGAAGCTCTTTGGATTTAGATGTCAGACAATACTGCTGAAACAAGGTAGGACATCCCTAGGTAAGATCTTACGCACGACTTAGGCCGCTTCGTCTGGTCTATTAACTGATTCTTTGCTGAAAGTCATAATTATGCCGACAGCTCAGCTAGTATACTCGCCAAAACAAGCATGCCGCCACTCAACTTAGGGAGGATTGAAGATTGATTTTTCCCCAGACGATGAGGATGGTTAACAATGGTATCGCTGCGACCTGATTTGGGAACTTAACCTTCAACATTCTCCCCACCAAGTTGATTGGGTCGGTATCGACTGCTTCCGAATCGTAATACGTGATGTTGAGATCCTATTCCGTCCGAGTGTCTTCAAAATTAAGTTTGCGTTCACGCATGACCCTAGGGATTTGCTGGATAACGGAAATTTTTGGCCTTGGCCTTGGATGAGTATGCTTATGAACATCTTCATACTCTTGAGTACACGTAGTACGTGGCGAATTTCCTCCAAGAATGATAACCTTGCGAAGGTGACTAGTCTCAGAATTCGTTACTAAAATTACACGATCCCGCAAACGTCCCTACATAAAGAAGTACCTTTTACTAGTAATATCATACAAAAGGTACATATGGAAATGGGAAGGTCTGTAATTTTGGTAATTTATATGTGGGCAGCGTAAGGATTGAAATCTCTCTCTAGGGCTGGAGATCATCTTCAGATCATCTCACTCTGAACTAGAACTTTATATCCCATCACTCTCAGTTCCTGTTCTTTTTTCTTATACAATTATCCTCATACTCTAATCTTTCGCTCTCGTTCAGCTATCTTTGCCTCCTTTTGGCAGTGGCAACCCCTATCACCGCAGGATCCATTGTGGCTCTGACCAATGGTAAACTTGTGGATTGATGGTTGACTTGCGAATACGAACACAACTTGCCATTATTGATCAAACAGAACTGAGATACCTATAACAAGTTTCACCACCATATTCCCCACTAGGGCGTCTCTTTGCGCCTGGACTCTCATTATAGGTGGGATACCCTGCCACGACAATTACTTCGCAATCATATCTCTATCGCTGATAGGGATGCCCACTCCACCAAATACTCTGCACTATGCAGTTAAGCTTTGACTGCCTCTAGATTTGCTTTTTTTGTTTTTGTTTTTGTTTTTGTTTTTTACTTGGACTAGGCCTGTTCAATTGGTGGACAGCAGCCCGTGAGCAGCCCGGACCACATTCTTTGTGCCTCGTCCCTTGGGCTGCGTGGCGTCCATGCGCGGCATACTTCAACATGAGGGTTTCCAAGGTTTGTGAATGGATCGTTTCCAATCTGCAGCGGTCAGACCTCGACAGTAGTCCGATAAGAAGGAAACAAGAGTTGAAAACAGAGCTACTGCATATGTTGTACAAGGTAGCATGTATGATAGAGGATCAAGAAGATAGAGGGGTCTCGACCCCTAGATTAAATGGAATCATGTGCAACTGCACAGATTTACGCCATTTTCCGTTGGGACTCCACCGGGTGGCGTGGGCCATGAGCTCTCGGCGATTCGTAATGTTCTACGTGAATCCCGAGGGTCTTTTAAGTGGGTCCCTACTTCTATCTATAAGTTTGTTGTCTGTTCGCCAACCCTTTTCTCTTTCCTTTTGATATCACAGTGGATCATGGCATCAGATTTGCAAAGGGACTATCCTTTCCACTCCACTCTATCTCAGGAGGTGGCTGCGAAATCACGAATGCCCAAGGCGTGGGTCAGGATCGACGTTTTAGGCAGAACCAAAACGCGGCCTAAGGGGTTATTTTGTGTGCCAGAGATAAGGGAGAGGAAAATAAGAGGAAAATAAAACAAAACCATATAAAAAAAAGGGAAGTTATAAACTATACGCACTATAACTATGCACTATATCTAGTCGGTATAAGAATGGAGTTTCCAAGGAAGCACGACCCACCTATTTTATAGCGGATGGCTCGGTGCCAACCACTTACTGGACAAAACAAGATCGCCACAATACTGACCCACAGCACCTCACTGATGCCACTGATGTGCCGGTAGTACGTACTCTAGAAACTCTAGAATGAATTCTATTCGAATGATAGAAGGGGATATGTGAGTGTGTGCATGTATCCATGGATGTTCCATCGGAGGTTAATAGCTAATAAGGTTAGGCATATAAAGTGAAGTATCTGGCATATAAAGTCCTAGATGATTTATGATTTCATTAAAAAAGATCTAGAAGATCTAGACTCTCATTTTTAGTCCTTTTCCTTTTCAATGCTCTTTATCTATTATTTTTAAACTATTTTAACTATCCCAAAGACCCTAACTGAATCCGTGAGGGAATTCTGTGCAATTCCTTGGTTTTGCCATTGAATCCTGTTCTAGCCTTTCTAGCTTTTCTAGCCTTTCTAGCTTTTCTCTTTTCTTTTTATTCTACTCTTTACTCTTTTATCCTTTTTCAAACCTGTTCATCTTCTATTTTATTTTTTTTACTGTGACTTCCTATTGTTCGTGCTTTGTGCCTTGCATAAACGGCTTGCAGCTCTCGGTTAATCTCCAACCGAGCCACTGGGCTCACTCAAATTCCCTTCATGTCGGGCATCATCAACCCACATCCCAGCCCAAATGAAGAATACGCAGAATACCCTCTTCCAATCATTGACATTCCCGGTGATCGCCATAGCCTCGAGCGCGAGGCCACCGTCGATGCCACCCAATATGATGTCGGGCTTGAGCCACGCATGCGCCCTCGCAGTCGATCCCATCATAGGGTTCGTTTTCGCTCAATGAGTCTGCGCCGAAATGAAGAAGATGGTTTACATCCCTCGTCGCGACCGTTACTGCCGCCCGCAGACATGAACGACATCCCGCTATCCGGAACCATCACCCCGCCAGCCCCCGCACATTCCCGCAATGGCTCCGGCCTCGCCAACGTCCGCACCCCAGACCAGTTCGGCGAGTCAGAGAAACATGATTTCGGTAAAATGGACCGGACCACCTCGGCTCGCGACCGATTCAGAGCTACCGGGCACAACTTGCGACAAAAAACTCACCGTTTCACCGAACGCCTCGGTCGCCCCACGGATGAGGGCGAGCCGCTCAACGCATCTTACATTCCAGACGATTTTGACGGCGGTATCCCCCTCGAGGAGCTGCAGGCCCGACGCGCGCGCCATGATGCCGACCGAGCGCACGCATTGGAGACTGGTGAGAATATTATCGAGCCGCCCCCGAGCGCCGAGGCTCATCGCTTGGTTCGCAGTATGACCGTGGTTCAGGATCAGCTACGGAAACGGAAACCTCAAAGCGCATATCAGCGGTCGGGACAAACAACTCCCGAGGGCTTGTTCAGCGCCTTTACGCAGCGCAGACGATCCAGTGGGGTCAACGGCGGCAGCGGCATTTTGTCGCAGCTGCTGAAGCTCCAGGCCGCCCAGGGTGGCTATTCTCGCGCGGAAAGTGTCATCACGGATGACTCCGACAGTGACACGCAGGTGTCTTCTGGTATCTCCACCCCGAAGAAGGGTTCCCTCTCACCCCCTATCCCTGCGTCTTTGCCAACCTCTGGCGCCGCTACCCCACGCAAAGAGAAGCTCAAATGGTACAAGAAATCGGCCCATCGGTCCACCTCCTCGCTGGTCAATGCTTCCATGAACCTCAGCACAGCCAGTCTGCCGGCTGCGGCGGAGGCTGCTCCCGGTGTGCAGAAGAGACGGAAGAAGAGCAAGCGCAAGACCCGTCTGGAGGATGAGATCCGTGTCACCGTCCATATCGCAGAGATCATTGCTCGTCAACGGTACATCATGCAGTTGTGCCGCGCGCTAATGCGATATGGTGCTCCCACTCATCGTCTGGAGGAATACATGCAAATGACCGCTCGGGTCCTGGAAGTTTCGGGCCAATTCTTATACCTGCCCGGTTGCATGATTATGTCCTTTGACGATCCTACCACTCGCACAGCTGAAGTCAAGCTCGTGCGAATGGTGCAAGGAGTCGACCTTGGTCGCCTAGCTGATACGCACAATGTTTACAAGAATGTTGTTCACGATCTTATCGGTGTTGAAGAAGCAACTCAAGAACTGGACGAAATTATGCAGCGCAAGCCGCGATTCAACAAATGGATCTTGGTCTTGGTGTACGGTCTTGCTAGTGCGACTGTCGGCCCGTTCGCTTTCAAGGCGCGACCGATCGATATGCCCATCATCTTCTGTCTCGGTTGCATTGTTGGGCTAATGCAACACGTTCTCGCGCCACGGTCGACCCTCTACTCCAACGTCTTCGAGGTTACTGCTGCTATCGTGACTTCCTTCCTCGCTCGCGCGTTTGGTAGCATTATGGTTACCCGCAATGGTGTATCTGAACCACTTTTCTGCTTCTCCGCCATGGCACAGTCATCTATCGCTCTGATTCTCCCTGGATTTATGGTCCTTTGTAGCAGTCTGGAACTGCAATCTCACCAAATCATCGCTGGTTCGATCCGAATGGTGTATGCGATTATCTACTCCCTCTTCTTGGGCTATGGTATCACAGTGGGGACTACGATCTACGGGCTGATGGATGGCAATGCAACATCTGCATCCACGTGTTCAGGGCTAGACGTCTACGGGTCGGTTTATGCACGCACATTCCCGTTCGTGGCTGTCTACGCTGTTTTCCTGGCCATTGTGAACCACGGAAAATTGAAGCAGATGCCCGTTATGGTCTTCATCGCCTTGTCCGGGTACGTCGCCAACTATTTCAGTACCACCAGGCTCGGCACCCAATCAGAAGTTGCCAACACCGTCGGCGCATTCACCATTGGTGTCCTAGGCAATCTGTACAGTCGGTTATGGCATGGCCATGCCGCCACCGCCATTCTTCCTGGTATATTTGTGCTGGTCCCCTCTGGCCTTGCCTCTAGTGGGTCTTTGATCGCTGGCATCAAATACGCCGACGAGGTTCGTCAGAACCTCGCAAACAATGGGACCAGTACAAGTACTGGCGCTCTCTCCGAAACTTCAGTTGCCAGTCTTGGATTCGGCATGATCCAAGTCGCGATCGGTATCACAGTCGGATTGTTTATCGCGGCTTTGGTTGTCTACCCCTACGGCAAGAAGCGCACTGGTCTGTTCAGCTTCTAGTCATTTATTTGCATTTTTGAACATATTCCTGCTACTCATGTGTCATTTGTCAGCCTTTCTTTCTTTCTACATTTCGGATTATCAGCGTCATTCAGCGTTTGGGATTTACACTTGCATTTCATACACTTAGACGGCGGCGTCGTTAAGCGATATCATTTTTAGACATGATCAACAACAATACACAATCTACGTGATCTATTTAGACAAGATACCAACAACCGTTCGTATCTTTCAGGCTTTGTTCCGATAGACAAAAAGTAGTGGATTCTTCTCACCTCGTGTCGAAACTCAACGACACATCGCCACGGGCGTCTCCGAATACCCCCAAAAAACCCTCAAAAAGTCACAAAATGCCACAACAGAAGATAACAGAAGACACGATCCAAAATATGAAGAATCATCTCAACCGACTTCATCGCCTCAGACCGCGGCGGCGTCGTGGAAAATAGGCACAGCGTCCATGCAGCCATCACCGACGGTACAGGCAACCTTCTCTATGCAGTCGGCGACCCATATCGAATGACACTCGCCTGCTCAGCAGCCAAACCCGCACAGGCACTAGCAATCCTCGAAACGGGCGCAGTGGAAAACTTTAACCTCCACGACGCCGATCTGGCCTTCATGTGCGCCTCGAATAGCAGCAAGGAGCGCCATATCGCTCGTACCCGGAGTATGTTACTGAAAGTCTCGACTCCCGAGGATGATCTCCGCTGCGGTGGACATCCTCCTCTCTCGGAGATTGTGCAGCGCGCTTAGATTTAGAGTGGATTCACCACGACGCCGGGAGAATCGGTTCTGTACAATTCTCATAAGTTCATTCCAAGGCCTGCTGATTGGGAAGCTCGGAGCGGATGGCTGCTATGGACTTGCCATTCGGGGGTGTGAGCAAACAAGATGTCTTAGAGCGGAGGGTGCAAGGGATTTCAGTGAAGATCAAAGATGGCAATATTGGTGTCCTTTACTTGGCTATGGGTGAGATTCTAGGACGACAGCTTAAAGATTAGAGAGCCTGAAATACGTCTAGCACTTTCTGCCTTCCACCACCAAAGGATCTTCAACACGGTCAATGTTCAGACTGGCAAGTTCTCGCCTTGTTTTCAAGTGCGGCAGCATGATATAATTAAGCAGAGTCTGGATATTACATTAGATGGGCTATTATAGGGCTTAGACTAATATACACCCACATTCAAAGCTACTTGACAGAGACATTGTGCCATAGTCTTCCATCTATCAGTTATACAGAGTGGAATCCCGGACTAGCAATGTTATTCTTTAAAGGTTCTAGTTAAACGATATCGCGGCCTTTCGGCCGTGGCCTCATTAGCTACCCTCGACCAGCTGTTCTTACCTAAAGATTCTGTTCATTGTTAATTTAGTAAGTCTCTCACTTATCTATCAGTTGTTCTTCATTTTTCTATTATGTGCCTCTCGATCTTGTTTAATTCAAATTGGATGGGTTGTTTTTCATATCAGGCACACAATATCCCTTTTCAATAGAGTCGTTATTCAGTTTTTTGTTTTATACAATCTCTTATTGTCATTTGAATCCTCATTGTCCTTCTTATCAATCAAACAAAGTGTCCTTGTTCACTCAATAACATCCTAAGTTCTTTACCTATATAATATGCACAATGGCTATTTAAATATCCAAGTGTAGTCAGTGCCTGCGGTATCACGGTATAAAACTATCCCAGATTGCCATATCGCCTCTAGTTTACGTTCTACTATGTTCACATATCTCTTTGCATCCCCACACAAAACAACATGGATGCCAGCGGGAGTGAGTATGAACAACCCCCACTGGTGAGTCTCCATCCTAGTTTCCACTAATATATGTGCACAAACTGACTTAGGACAGCCTTCAAGCGTGCGGAAGAGAAAGCGCTCAATCGAGCATGGATCCTCGCAGGTGAGGCCTAGCCTTCCCTTAAATTACACTATATTCTATTCAGCAACTGACATGTCTCTCCCATCAAGGCTAGGAAGAAGCGCAAGCCAGCACTCGATGACCTCCGCAAGCTGCTGGTTACCTACCGTGGCCTACAGCAGATGCAACGGGAGCTGAACGAGCAACTCGCCCTGTGCGAACACCAAATTGCCAAACACAAGTTTGGCAGTTTCTCTGGAAAGTCTCGCCGTCACCCCGGCCGCAGCCATCCATACGTCTTCCAGCGCGTACGGTCCCCACTGCGTGAATTAGTCAGAGTAGAGGAAGATTTACCCACGTTCTGGGGGCGCGTGGGACAATGGTTGTGGAGGCGGTGGTAAAGAAGGGGGGGGGGTGAAAGATGGATAACTTTGGAGATTGGGTGGTTCTTGCTGGCGAGACCCCCAGCAGTGGATGAGTATACGGTATCGTGAAGGGCCACCATGTTGGAGATGACTAAGAAGTTATGTCTTTCCTACACAAACACCAAGGCGACCAGAAGCCCCTTTTTGTCTCCATGTCAATTTCTACCATTATCTGCGTGATTAGTAGTTGGCCCGTACTCGTGGTAGCTTCTGTTCTTATCACAGAGCCTATGTGTGTGTCTATTAACCGCCACGCGAACCTTTTAAGATTTTGTATTTTTTAATATCTCAGATATATCGCTCGGGAGATATCTAAAACAAAATCTACTAAAAAGACTACCAGAAAGAGACATGACTAGGTTGGATAGGATGTCGATCATTCGAGATACATGCGTAATATATATTTTTCGGCCACTTTGCTGCATTGTTATAATTCGCCACCCACCAACCTTAAAAATCACACAAAAAGAGTACCAATGCCAAAATAATAGGATAAAGTTGAGTCATAGAATAAATGTCATATGTGCAAGGGAATTGGAGATGTTAGATATAAAAATATCTAACAAAAAAATAGTTTCCCTGGGAATCGAACCCAGAACCTTTCCGGAACACTTGCAGAAGAGCAATTGTTAACGGAAAATCATAACCGCTAGACCAGGAAACTGTTCGATGGAAGATGAGGCGGTTTAATGCCTCATGAACAGAAAAGATAAATAGTGGACGATGCCAACTCTCCTGGTTATGTGTCTTGCGAGAGAAAAAAAAAAAAAAAAAAGGGCCTAAGAAGAAACAAGAAGCGTAGGCAAACAAGAACCATAGGAGATTAACGTCAACACCAAGCAATCCGCCAGCCGTGCTTTGAGCGATATTTCAGATGTACCTAGTACAGCGATGAGGAGTGTTGGAAATACTCCTATCGCAACATCCACGCTGGTATTGAAATCTCGACACCGGGGTTACGTGTAGACCTCCGCAGAGCCTATAAAGCCCAAAGCCCAGCCCAACCCAACCCGCAAATAGGTTGGGTTTGGGCCCGGTCCTTAGGCCTATCGATGGGCTATAGGCTTATACCTCGAGCCTACTATAGGTTAATAGGGGCCCAAATAGGCCCTAAACAATATATACCGAGAATTTAGATACTAAGGTAAGTTGAACCCCCCTTTATTTTACGTCCGTTTCTTACCCTAATCCCTAAGGTAATATTTTATTAAATTTAATAATTAATAATTAATTACTAGTATTCTCTCTATATCACGTAAAAAGATACGAGAAAACGCGTTAATTAAGAAATTTTTAAAATTATAGAGGTTTACTAGAAAGTAGTAGTGCTTCCATATAAAACCTAGATATATATATCTAATATCAAAATATCAACATTTACCTTTTCGGTTATATCTCGACCTTTACCGATCGGATTTTGTTTAAAATTAAGATACATACTTATACTATTCCCTTTATTCTAAATTTAAAATTTGAACTTTATACGATTGGTAGAAGGTCGTAATATAACGATTATAGAGTCCGCTTTGTTAGCGTCTATATAGGTTTTTATAGGGGCCTACGGCCTAGGGTCCGGGCCCATTTATGGGCTTTGCGGAGGTCTAGCTGGGTGTTATTAAACTTGGCGCGTCCTAATTAAGCAATTTATGTAGAGAAGGTGGCTTCATAGAGCCATAAATGTACCCCGCAATATGTGGATTCGTCTCGACCAATTTGTCCGTTTGTGAGATATATCACTAGCTTCGGCGATGCGCAATTTGGAAAGGAGAGTATACACATCGCATATATGAAGCCGGGCTGCATTTCCTGTCACAATTGCCCTTTCGCTTACATCGTTATATTTAAAATTCCGATGATGTCATAGTCTATATCAGACATCGTGTCTGTGATGAAATCTACAAGAAGTTGGAAGGACGTCTTTTCCATCCCTCAGAGGTCTTTTCTTGTGCCAGCCTCACTTTAACTCAGTTGGTCAGTTTTTACAATTCGGAATAAGGTAGATCCGAATGTCGTTGAGCCCAGTGGGGCTTTAACCTTTGAAACAGGAAAACCACAGTAGGTTCATGGCTTCTGGGGCTACAAGGGCCAAGGACCTGGGCAAAGAAATTGAGAAGAAAAGTGTGAAACCATCCAACGGAGACTCTTCCTTATACCAAGGGTGGGAGACATGGAAGGATGAGTTGGTGAAACAAGGCCTCGAATTCAACATCTGAATATGGTCTAAAGGCCACGATAGACTGACAACGATATGGCGTGGGGTATTAGAAGTTACATAGTTATAGCTAATAAATGTCTTTGCATAGGCAACCAATCCTTTGCTTTATGGCTTGAACAGCGTGTTCGTATCTTGAGAAAAGAGTCCACATGGAGATCACCGATCCACATTATTCTAAATATATTCCGTACGGAGTAGTTTAGAACAATATCCTTCAATCATTTTCACTGTAACCTGATAGTGGAGCAGCTTTGGCGTTGCTTACAAAGGTACTAGTGCTGGTACTAGTGCTGACGCACAGCTGGGATTCGACAAGCTGAAACCTGTGAATTCGTCCTCATTCTCAGTTGACAACTCGACTTCCTGGTTCCTGTCTATGCCTCATTCTTTTTAATCAAACCTCAAAAGGTCACAATGGTGGGAAAGGTAGAAGATAAGTATGTTCAAACGGTGGCTGCCTGATACCCGGTTCTTTGTTATTCCCCGCTGACAGTTTTTCTTTTTTCCGCCCAGATTTGTTGGCCTCACATTGGCAATACTATCCGCGACAGTAATTGGTTGTGTCACCTTTTCCTTTTCAAGACGCTTTATAGACATACTGACTATCGCAATGAGCAGGTTCAAGCTATGTCGTCACTAAGAAGGTTCGGCGCCTGGTCAACATCCTGGGCTTCTTCAATCGCAGCGCATCCCTGAATCTGATATGGAAATTACCAGGGTCTTATACAAGCAGCCGAGAAATATGGGTTCACTGGAGATGGATTTGAATACATACGAAGTCCGGTGTGGTGGTGTGGAACAACCATGCGTATGCTCTCGGACAGGACGGACATCGCTAGGGGCTAATAGACCATCATTGTAGTGGTGACCGGAGAATTGATGAATACCGCGGCCTATGCATTCGCTCCCGCCGTGCTGGTAACGCCGCTTGGGGCGTTGAGCGTGCTCATTGGGTGAGTCAGCCGACTAATGATGGATTCCACCAGTGGACTGTCGCTAATCACTTCTAGTGCTTTGATGGGCTCGTATTTCCTTAGGGAAGAGATCAATGTTCTTGGGAAACTCGGATGTGCCGCCTGCCTTCTAGGCTCAGTGCTGTTGGTGCTCCATGCGCCGGGGGACAAGGAAATTGAGACTGTCGATGAGATCCTGCATCTGGCAATTCAACCATGTCAACGACCCTTCCCAGACTTGGATTGTGAGCTACTGACACATCTTTAGTCTTTCTTCTCTATTGCGCTTGCGTTGCAATAATCGCCATTTACATCATCTGGAAAGTCGCACCGGTGCAGGGGCGAACAAATCCGTTGGTTTATATCTCAATTTGCTCCTCGGTCGGATCCATATCCGTCATGTCAGTGAAGGCGTTTGGGATTGCAGTCAAGCTCACTGCGGGCGGCGACAACCAATTTACCCATGCCTCGACCTATGTCTTCGCGTTGGCTCTGGTAGTGACCACCCTGACCCAGATGAACTACTTAAATAAGGCGATGGGCCAATTTCCTGCATCACTGTAAGTTTTCTTGTCTATCTCCGATAAGCCAAAGACAATATACTCAACTCTTGACAGAGTAAACGCGATGTACTATGTTGGTTTTACAACATGTACTCTCTCCGCCTCCATTATCTTTTACCAAGGACTGAACACTAGCAACTGGACGAGTATCATCTCAATGATATGTGGATTTCTACTCAATTTCACGGGTATATCCCTCTTGACATTGTCCAAAACTGCGTCTTCCAGTGAAAAGCGCATGGACTCAGTGCAAGGGATGAACACACGGTCACTAGAGCTCTCCCACGGACGATACTCGCACGTACGAACAAGCAGCGTGGATATCGAACAAACCCTTGGAAGACGGTCTTCCGGAGTCCAACCGGAATGGAGATCATAACAGTGAGTTGCAAGTTCGGATTTGATTTCTTTGTACCATGTATTTTCAGCTTCCTGCTAGGGTCACCGGATAAATTAGAGTGGAGGCACCGTCTTACTGGAATAAGTAGACCACAAGGCATCTTTAGCGTGTGCCAGCTTCACTAGGGGCATCTAGAAGTCTTTTTATATGGGATGCCTGTTTAAATGTATGTGAAGGCGATTTAACGTAGTACTTTCGGTAGAGAACCGTTCTATATACATACGTGTGTGTAGATAATCAAACATCCAGGCATTAATAATGCCGGAAAAGGGGCTTTTTTTTTCGCATGGCACTTGTATCGCTGCGTAGGCTATCCGAGCTTTTCAATGAGGATATTATATCCCTTGCTGTACACTTCTATTTCAATAGTAGAAACTTCGCACTGGATCCCGCTATGGTTATTTCCATATTCACTACGTCCAGGCGTTGATATTTTTGACCTAATCTGTCGTGTCGGGCGGCGTTCCTTTCCGATAAAATCGGCTCTTGGTGCATCGGATGAGTCCGTATAGGAAGTAGTTATGATCAACCCCCCGCTTTGTAGTTCGTCGAATAGAGATAGGAGTTTGAACTCACATATATGCCTAGAGATAATTAGTTTGTCATGATCCGCATTGAAGAACTCGCGTAGACATACCTTTGACCACTGGACTTGTCATAGATGATCTTCGATGTACCACCCATAGATAGCATGTACCCGACGCCCTCAAGGAACCCTCTGAAAGTGACTGGGGTGACTTGTGGATACTTTTTGTTGTCCAGATACTTTTTCAAGTAGGTTTGACCGTTGATGCAGTAGAATTGGTAGAACCTTTGGGGGTTGTTAGCTGATGTGAAAAAAACATGGGCTTATATACTAGGGCGATACCAACATGGCAAGGTAAGCAAAGATGTTGGTTGGATCTTTGTTGAACACGGCTTGCATGGTATTGAAAAGGTCCTGCTTCGATCCAAGGGCTCAACCTTAGGTTCCAGGCCATACACCTGAGAGAATTCCTTGGCAATCTCCTTGATTGATTTGCGGTTACTGAGGACTGTCACGAGAGGGTTTAACTAGTACGGCACTAGCATTCAGAAGACATCAGGAAACCAATCCCCTCGAGGTAAACTCACAGTGCTGCATTTCAACTGCATTCCTGTCCAGTGCAACGACAGTGACATACTCAGCTGCAGTTTCGTAGGTGATAGATTCCCAAATTTCATCTCCATCCCCGTAGAACGAGAACTTGATCTCCTTGGGATCTGGGGGTCCAAGGTATCCACTCCAGAGCGTCTTCATGAATGCTCCGAGCATAACGTGCACATTCTGCATTCTTCTTCCCATCCAAGTATGCCTTTACGTGCTTCATGGGATCCTTAGCGGGGTGCTGTCCAAGTGCCAGCTTGGTGAAGTCCAGGCAGTAGTCACTGGCGACGTATCGGCCAATGTTTTCCAGCTCGCATGCATCTACCAGTAACCTTTGGCCCTCGACCATGAAGTTGTTGTCCCCCAGGTAGCAGCAGATGATAACGTCGCACCCACCGACAAAAGAACGAAGTGTCTCTAGATCGCTCGACTCGCCTTGAACGATAGTCACGCGGGGTGACTCACGAAAATGCTGAGGGAGCTTGGAGGCGTTCTGGCACAAACTGCAAATTTGCACAGGTGGTTCCCGACAAGACGAGCGAACTTGCCCGTGGTAACCGCGATGCCGACGGTGATAGACATGGTAAATGAACTGGTAATCGGGTAAAATAATGGAAAAATAGTTAAGAGCAATTAAAGAATTGAAATCTTTATGTTAGGAGGATATAGGAGGTGCTGTTCAGTTGGATATATAAATGTACACTGCTAGTACTATACTGCTATAGACAGTTCCTGGTAGCCAATCAAATTCGCGGTTGACACTGCTACCCGCGTCGTCGCTATTTCCGAACCCTCTCAACCTTGACATATCCACCTTTTGATCTGTAATCAGAAACGGACTAGTTAATGTGTCCCGGATTTCTCAGCAAAATCCAATCGTTTCTAGTCATGTGAGGGCGCTGCCTCTACTTGTGGGCAAAGCCCTACTCCTTCTAGGGGGAGATGGCCACAACCCGTAGAGGTATAAAACCGTATTACTTTCACCGTAGGGCAGGGTCTTTCTCTTGGCTAATCAATCTGATTTCACTCCGACTGTAGTACTGACTCTCGGATAATTTGTGCCCCGACAAAAGCTCAAAGGATGTCAAAGCTATTTCCGCCTCTCAGGGTCGGAGGCATGACGCTCAACTAGCGCATCGCCATGGCCCCAATGAGTCGGCTTCGCGCCGATATTTCCCACCTTCCCTTGTCTTCGGTGAAAGTATACTACCATCAGCGTGCTAGCGTACCGGGACCTCTCATCCTACCAGGTCGAGGCTTTGTACTTTTCAAACTATGAGAGGATTATAACTGCAATTACGGCGCCAGGAATCGCAACGAGGGTGATAGGAAGCATTTGAACGCCTGCTCGGGCTGGCGAAGACCCCAAAATGGTCTAGAAATAAACCCGCATGAAGAACAGCACCCAGTAGAGAAGGACTGTGAACAAGAATGTGTTGAAGACCACGAGTGAGGTTCGATTCTTGAATAGTGGGGTGGTACCACGGGCTCGTAACAGAACTTGGAAAAGCATTCAAAGATGTATCAGGAAGAGGCTGATCGATATTGACGGTATATATAAATAATTGAATTATTCCAACTTGAACATACTAATGCATTAAATAGTAATCAGAAACGGCAAAGGTACAAGAAATACACATTACTTTTGATTATCAAGGTCAGGGAGTGCAATTTCTACAGAACGAATTCCGGCGAAGTGAGCCTGCGACATGGAACTGATCAATAAATATGTGATCTATTGGGAGAAGGACATCAAGATATCAAAATCTCATTCGCGTCTGGTGGCTCAGTCAAACCCAACAGGGCAAAATACAATCGACGAGACAATGCAACAGCTGTACAGATCTATAGAGAATTGTTCTGTTCCAAAATCTGCTGGATGTTTTTCATGTTCTCTCTGAGCGAGGAAATATACCCAACAGCCATCCCATCACTCTCCTCGCCATCTGTTTGACTCATGACCATCCGAAACAGCGGGGTAAGCTCCGAACTGCTGAAAAGACCATCGTTGGTGCCCCTTGAAGTGTCAAGACGGAACTCCGCGGATGTTCCCATCAAGCGCTCGATGTGAGTTAGAAGATGCATAATCACCTGAACGAGAATCTTGATCTGCAGATTCCCATACTGCACAGGAAATCCTCCAAGCTGGAGGCCCGGTACGGATTGGAGTGATGAGATGGACTGGTGCGACATTTCAGACAGAGACTCGTAAACGCGCGAGAAGAGGATATCATAGATTTGGATAATCTGAATATAGCAGGTAAGGATCACAAGAGCGGCTGGGGTATCCGGTTTAAAATGGTCGGAGGGTGGGGGGTTCATGGATTCAGAGGTGCACATTTGGACAAAGGGCGAAGAGCTGATATGAAGCGGCTGCACGGCGTTGTTCAGATTTGCAGTCAAGCGAGAGCAGTGTATGTCAACCGCCGATGATGATAGCGTGGCGGGATCTGAGTATTGTGACTGAAATCTAGAGCCCGATTGGTCTGTAGGGGAAGTTTTGAGAGCGATGGTTTGGAGGACATGTACAAACTCGGAGGTGGTTTGAAGGACCTCTCCAAGCGGGTTGGAATTAGCGGCCTCCTGGCTCTGGTTAACACACACAATATTGACCAGAGTGACACTCCAAGGTGCGGTATTTAGTCGGTCTAGTTGTTTGCCCATTGACGCAATCAGAACAGACAACCTCTGGGTGGTATCAGCGCTGCTCATTGTCTTCCGTGGCTGCTTGGCAGGATCCGCAGCTCCCGGGGAGTCGGGATCTAGTCTGTGGCTGGGTTCGTCCCTGAAATACTGCCTTTGAGCACTGGATCTATTGCTGGTATCGGCATATCCACTCTCCACATCGCCCGGTCTGAGGAAATGCGTGTCATTCAGCGAGGGAACCCCAAAGGGGCTTTGGCCATTCGACAGCCCAGCCCCCAGAAAATCATCGCTCACCCCCGACAGGCCCAAGAGAATTTCCGGATCAAGGCCAAAAAGGCCGGGGCCATTTGCGTCGAAGACCCCTGGATCCTGTGAAGGGAGATCGGGTCTCCTAGTCCCGGGACGTTTCTCAGTGGCGCCAAACAGATTGACGGGATTTTGGGCGGGATCTGTATCAAATAAAAAGTTGTTTTCATCGTCAGCAGTACCGCTTTGGCCTCTCAGAGCCTTCCGTGGGCGTCCTTCCCGTCCATGGCTCTTTTTCGTGGTGGTCTTCCGCGCAGGCCGTCCAAGAGGCCGCAGATTGCTTGTCACACACGGGGCACCGGCGCGGAGGCACCGCGCACAGGTCTGGCCTGTCTGGCCCTCACGAGGACATCGGAGCTTATGCTCTCTGCATCTATCACAGGCGAATCTTTTCGGGAATTGCGCGTGAGTTTCTCGTGACAACATTGACATTGTGCGGGGTGGTTAGGGTGACATGGACCTTCAAAGGGGTTATAGAGACAGATATGGAATCAAAATATCAGCGGCTTTGAATATCTGGTGAGCACCACGATTACTAGGGCACATCAAGCACCGAAATGTTGCCAGTTGGAGCTAGATTGGAGTTGGCAGACCCCAGGTCGCAGGATGACGCCGGGGGGCGAAAGAAAAGAGAAAACAGAACAGAAAAGCAGGGGTCGTGATTGGCGCATTTAATCAGGTTGCGCCTACCACATTCAATCTCAAAGACCAAAGACCATTCTTCTACTTTCCTCTGATTTACATGTAGTCATCGGATTAAATTAAACGTCTCAGTGGACATGAATTTGTCATCATATTAAAGGTGTCACCAGCCTCAATTGACTCAATTATCCGCGCCTTACTCTGCTATTTCAACGCTGAAACACTGCACTTATGAAATAGAGGGGTTCACCTAAAATATTAAGTCTGACAATTTTCAATTTGTCTCAGCTAACAATGTGGAGTTCCTCTTAATATCAGTAATATATAACCATATGGATTTTCCATGTGCCCACTCCCGGACTCAGACTTCTGGGTTAACCTCATTGAAATATGTCGAATACCAAGTCAGAATACATGGCAGAAACCAGGTATTATACCGGAAACATCATGTGACATTGGGTACCTGACATACCATACAAAAGTGCATATTACAGTTAGTCATCAATGTCCGCACAGTTTGTTGAAATAGCCGGTTTTGTCATTTTAGAGTCTTCAACATTGGTCATCTATACCATACATTGTTCGTACACCAGCTTTCTGTCAAAATAGCCTAGCATCTTACTTACCCCCTTTTAGGTTCATATGTACGTGTACTCTTTTATTCCAAAATTAAAAATTAAAACACGGTCAAGGGCCTACTCCTAGGGCCATTAAAGAAGTTAACGGATCCCGGGCCAATATCACCCCCGGTTATTATATTTGACTTTCGGAATTTTCCGAACCTTACCCTAGCTCGGGGATTTTATGATGCGAGGGATACGTAGTATCGTACTGATATATTGATACTTATCTTCCTACAAGCCTTGCGAACTCACAGTTCACAGGGGGCCAATACAATCGACATGCAAATAAATATATTACTGGCAACGAAAGGCCACTGTCTATGGGAGTCATAAATCAAATCCAGGGATATGACAGAGTCCGAATCGGAGAGATGAACCATAAAGCTCCGAAAAGGTCGGCCACATTGTCTCTTCGTCGTCGGAGGGGCCCCATTTTCTTCAAAACAATCGTTGTCTCTTTGTACTCCAATCTTGTCTATCATTCTGCATATTAAACATATGAACTGAAAGGCCTAAAGGTACCGAAATAGTCAAATATTCTCGACAAGCAGCCATATAAGGTGGTGAGTGACTAAAGCTCTGTACAGAGGCCAGTGAGTGCTAATACCTTTTCTCTCCTTTTCTTCTCTTTAGAGATAAGATAGCTCTGCTCTTACAACTTCTCCCAACCATGACAGTGGATATGGAGCCCCAACTGCGAGAGGAAACTGGCCGACGAGAGGAAGATGGCAGTGGAGAAGCCACCGCCAAACCTCTGCCAATGAGAAGAGGCTTCAAGTTCTGGACCATCATCTTTGCGCTCTGTGTGACTGGTCTCCTGGGGGCACTTGAGAATACAGTGGTTTCGACTTCAATGCCAACAATCGTGGAGGACCTGAACATTGGCGAAAACTATATCTGGATCACGAATGCTTTTTTCCTAACCAGGTAATGTTATCTCCCATCGCCAGTCATAGTGACCCGAGTCTGAAACTGACACTTTCTGGGGATTTTCCAGTGCAGCGGTTCAGCCCCTATTTGGCCAGCTGGCGAATGTCTTTGGTCGTCGATGGTTAACAATGTTTATCGTCGCCGTCTTCACCCTGGGAAGCGGCATCTGTGGTGGCGCAAATAGCGCGAACATGCTCATCATTGGACGCGCCGTTCAAGGGATTGGAAGTGGTGGCATCAACATGATCGTCGATGTCATCGTATCGGATCTTGTTCCATTACGTGAGCGCGGAAACTTCATCGCCATCGTGCTCACCGTGTATTCTATTGGCAGCTCTATGGGCCCGTTTGTAGGTGGAATAATTGTCCAACGAACCACTTGGAGATGGGTCTTTTATATCAACCTGCCTGTTGGCGGGTTTTCGCTGGTGCTTCTGTTCCTGTTTCTACACACTCACTATCAGCGCGATACCACCTTTTCCCAGAAAATTAAGCGCATCGACTATATCGGCAATGTCCTCATCATGGGGGCTACAGCAGCGGTGCTCTGCGCATTGACATACGGGGGCTCACGCTATGCATGGAGCTCGTGGCGGATTATCGTGCCGTTGGTGCTGGGACTTGCAGGGCTAGTTTTGTTTATGGTCTTCGAACAATCCAAGTTCTGTTACGAGCCCGTGGTACCACCCCGCCTATTCAAGAATCGAACCTCACTCGTGGTCTTCATCAACACATTCTTGTTCACAGTTCTTCTCTACTGGGTGCTGTTCTTCATTCCGGTTTATTTCCAGGCCATTTTGGGGTCTTCGCCAGCCCGAGCAGGCGTTCAAATGCTTCCTATCACCCTCGTTGCGATTCCTGGCGCCATAATTGCAGTTATAATCCTCTCAAAGTTTGGAAAGTACAAAGCCCTCCACCTGGCTGGTTTTGTCATCCTCACACTGGGTATGGGCCTGTTTGCCCACCTCGACCGCTTTTCCTCCGATGCGGAATGGATCGTTTTTCAAATCATCGCCGCGCTGGGATCTGGAATGATCCTGAACACCTTGCTTCCTGCCTTCCAGGCCCCTCTTGCTGAGTCGGACCAGGCGGCAGCCACGGCAAGCTGGGCATTTATGCGGAGCTTTGGCAATATATGGGGCGTGGCTATTCCCGCTAGCATATTCAACAATCAGTTTGACAAATATGCATCTCGTATTTCAGATGCTACTGTGCGACAAATACTCTCCAACGGTCACGCCTACCAGCACGCGTCCAATACATTCATTGACAGCCTAAGTGACTCGGTGAAGGACGAAGTTATCGGGGTATTTTCTGACTCCCTCAAGCTTGTCTGGGAGATATCGATTGCTTTCTGTGGTCTTGCTTGTATATTGGTGTTTCTTGAAAAAGAGGTGCCTTTGCGAAAAGAGCTTGAGACAGATTATGGCATGACAGAAAAGGACAATATTCAGGCAAAGCAGGGAGATATTCCCGATGCTGAAAAGGCAGGCTCAGAGAAATCACACACTTAAGCTTAATGTCAAGCTAAGATCGAGTTGAAAGCTAGCATCGGGTCTTTCACCTTGAAGCCGAAGTGGCTGAGGCTATTCAGTGGAGGGGGAGAAGCAGAGATTGTATATACAACCACGCGCAGGTACAATCAAAGACAGGGTTAAGCTGAAAGTGTCACAATTGAATCAACTCTTCATCCAATATCCAACATGGTGTAAGCATAGATGACGGTGGAATAACCACGACATGGCGTAGACTGAAATCTACAAATCTTGATGTTTTCGCATAGGCTTTATACCCAAGTGAGTACGGCGCTAGTATCGACACCGTAGCGATTGAGGAGTTAGTGATTCAACGCTTTCTAGCTTCTGAAGGGATTACCCCTCCATGATGATTGATTTATTTCTTCATTGACTGTATATTTTTCTGCTATGAGCTCCTGTACATGTAACGCACATCGAAAGCTCCTCTTCTCACAACTCGTCACTTTCTTAGTCCAATGACTGCCAAATTACGCGGACTCTTACTGTAATCAAACACTGGTTGAACCCAGCAGTCTTTGACCGAGTCCTGTTCACGAAGGAATTGCCACCGATCCACAACAATGACAGCCTCGATGAGTTGAGCACTGAACGCCATTAAGCTCCACACAACACTCATATGTTTCCTTGCGTGGAGGTACTGAGTCTCATAGCGGTGAATCTCGTCATCGGTGAGAGTAGCAATATGCTCCTGGACCTGCGAACCATATATCGGGTCTCGACTCATTTTGATCGTCGCAGCACGAATATATGCAGTAAAGGACTTAAAGGCAGCTTTAGGCAATGATCCTATGATAATAGAGTTGGTTCTAGCTTCTGGGGAAGTTCCGTCGGAGAGGACGTCTTCCGGCACAGACGGCTTAGGAAGAATATTTCGATCAACGAGGATACGCTGCAGAAGAGCACGGAAGAAGTGGCGGGTAAAGGACAGTTCACTGTCACTGAAGCCCCAATTGTATGGAGCTTGCACGGCCAGTGCACGAGCTGTAATGTTAAGCTTCACACCGGTCGTTGCTCCAGGGCTTCGGTAATTCTCGTAGTATTTAGACATAGGGAACCCATGTGGATCGTATGATGTTCCTGTCTCTTCAAGTCGAGGGTGGAGGGATTGAAGGATAGGGAGGTCATGTGTGGTTGGACCGAGGCGTTCTGTCAACAGGTTGTAGCAACAACCGATCATAGCGACAGCCACAATCGAAGGATTTAGAATCAGGGATCGTAGACCATGGTGAACAAGGTTCCCGCAAGAGTGAAGGGAAACGACCATCAATCTAGCATCGCTCTCCTCTTTCCCTTTCCCATCAGCAACTCTAGGAGGGGATGGATGGATGATGTGGTCGATAATGGGCTCTAAGTGGCCATCTTGGATTTCATGCTCGATATAGCTGAGAGTGCCGCGGGTATGGAGCTCTGGCGTGGGTAGCTTTTCTCGTAATGGGCTTGTGGTAGGGGACCCGAGTAGCTCGTCAGATTGAAGGCTAATCTCGCCCAGAATCTGGCAAAAAGCAAGATCTGAGACATGCGAGGCCTCTATCGTTGGTTGAGGGGTACCCGTCGTTTCAGAAATAGTCACTTTCGTAGTTCCGTTGCAGCCATCGGACGAACTTTTGTTCTTGTGGAAATATTGAGCATTCGGGTTCTTTGCTAACTTGGCTCGGATATCCATGCTCTTAGCACCGCTGATGTACTGATGCTTGCGCTCAATTGCAATGATATGCTTGTGATAAGGCGAGCTAGCCAGTGTGCGTCCAAGATAGTTCTGTCCAGACCCAAAATCCACAATGTGAGTGACTGGTTCACCTCGGCGCTTATTGACAGTGTCTGACAGAGATGAGACATGTTGAGAAAAGCATTCGACCTCGTGTACTTTTTTTCGGTTCATGTGCATAGCAACTTGCTTTGGTAATTCGATCTTCTCCGAAGACGAGATACACATTTCTCGCTGGAGTGTCAGTAGACGGATATTGAAAATGTAGTCCAAGAGGCTCTGGGGAGGGAATGCTCCTCCATTCCAAGCACGGCTGCTTTGATCTACAGAAGGCTCGCCGGTGCTTCGTAAGTGGTCAATGTCCTCTCGTAGGAGTAGACGGATGATGTCTTGGATATCATGCTGTTCGAAGAAAGATATCCAATCTTCTGGCAAGATTGTTGTATAGAGGTCGGGCTCCCGGGTCAGAAAGTCGACCATATGCACACCACCGCACAGATTCATAAAGAGCACCGACGTAGTGGTGAAGGAGAGGAGGGCTTCCACGTAGGCATCAGGGTCCTTCCACGCCACAGAGATGGGTAGGGGGCTATTGAAAGCCATGCAAATAGTGATGGTCAATTGTCTCACCAAAATCCTTATCAGGATCCTTCATGGGAGCTTTTTTTATTATTTTTTATCGCGAGCCCTGGTGGGTCTGAAAGCTGGAGGTAGTGCATTATCCCGATTAGGAAGGCGGTACTTGAATTTCAGGCAGAGGAACTGACAGAAAGCTGGTGTACGAACAATGTATGTGATAGACAGATCTAGTACTAATATGAGAATTGTAGTGCACTGGAAAATGTCATGTTGCGTTAGGAAAGGAAGAGAACTAGCTACTGAGACTAATTGTACTGGGAGCAAGCAAGCGAGGTCACGTGACCTCTAACAGTATGGGGATGACCGATGTTGACAGGGTCTGGATTGGCTCTCCTTGTCATTAAATCTTACTGTACCCGGTTGATAGGTCTTGTACTTATAAAATACAACCTATCACATTCTGAGTGGGTCCTAAGCTGAACCCCGTTTTGGGAAATATGTCAGACTGGGATATGCCCCCCCCCCCCCCCCCCCCCCAAAAAGGCCCTAAATAGGGACCGAGGTTTTTGTTATGGTCTAGTGGTAAAATAGGCTGTGTTTTTCCCACAAAATATTACTTTGCGTCTTTCGCTCCACAGCTATGACCACGCAAAAGACGCGTTTTACTTGTGAGAATGTGGGTATTCAACTTATAAAAAATTCACGAGGATTGGCAAATTCAAAGGGCTGGCCTGGGCCGTAGAGGGCCATAAAAACGGGGATTGTGCCACAAGTGGCTTCACTGCTTCGAGTTACGTTTGACGATATTCTCTTGACGCCAGCGGTGTTACGAAACAGCTATTTGGGCAGGGGGACTGAGGAAGATCCATACATCTGCGGGTTTATACCTAACGATCCGTGAAATCCGTTGGAATGGTCGACCTTTCGAAAATAGGTGGTGGCTATTGGCGCCTCGATTGCAACTTTCGTCGTCACTTGCGAATATTCGCGAGAGGCCTCTGAGACTCTAGCCAAAATGATGGGGAAGCCAAGCAAGTAATGACCAGCCTAATACAGTCTACGGGGTATATAATACATACAGAATAGTTAGAGGAAGCGGTGCTTATACGCAACAAACCAATAACAACTTTAACGAAGGCTAGGTTGCCAGTCAACCCTCAATCCTCGGTCTGTGGTTCTGGCCTGGTGCCCTCGGGCATTCCTATTCCTATTGATCACTGATTTTGCCTTTGTAAAACAAATCTCAATTCCAAGCATCATCGATTGGGGCAGGATTCTACAGCAAGCCAGAGTAGCAAGAAGATAAGTTAAGTTACATGTAGTTCAATAATGACAGCCAAGTGAATTTATTGGCCCAGTTTCAAGGTCAAGGAAAGTTCCACCGAAGATGCTTCTGCGACACGGAGACAAATGTCCCAGGATCGTCTGGATCTGTGTGTGACTTGTACAGCCCCACTCCTAACTCTCCACCAGCTTTAAATATTGAGTGCAAGCTATGCGAAGCGTAGACTCCGCTGCGGATGCAATCGCTAACGCCCACGCCATCGTAGCTACTTCCTGCAAGAATAAGCCTGCCCGTATACTTGTCCTGCAAAGCGTGGCGGAGGGTCCGCATACGGCTAAGATGATGCGTCCCATATTGCGGTATGCAATTTCTGCGCATTGTTGCGCATGTCGCCATGGGCTCTGCGGTGATTCCCAGGTGGCGGGCCAGCAGGCTTCTAGCTTTCGAGATACCATCCAACGCTGATGGTAGATGCTTTTCAGGCCACTTGTCCCAGTAATAGCCCCCAAGCATGACAGTGAGCTTGGTGCCCTGCATTGTATCTTGACCCTGCAAAGCGTCAGAGTCAAAGATAACGCCCAGGCCGCATTCCGGATTTTGACCGGCCGGTGTGTCTTTGGGAATAAGGTACCCAAATCCTTTGACTGATAGAAGGTGTAATTCGGCGAACCATAAGTTGACCACCATAACATTAACAGTTCTATTAAGCTGCAATATCTTCTTGATTTCGCGACTTGCTTCGTCCATGTCGATGTCGATGTGGTTGGAGCACAGTAGTTCTCCTAAATTTGTGCTTGGAATTGTTGAAATCACATGAGTAAAACGGCGCTCTGTCTCTCCGTTCGCACCAGTTTTCACTAAGAGACCACCACAGCCATGGGTTCCATCCACGTGTATCGAAGATACCGAACAACCTGTTTCGATGCTGACCTGCGGGTCTCTCCGTAGCACTTCCTCCATCTTGTCTGGTAATTGCTGAATACCTTTCTTGAAGCTGTAAATGCTAGAGCGCTTCGCTGCCTGCAAAGCTGCTGTTCTCTCCTCCATACGATGTCCTTTGATTCTCTGATCTCGCCGAGCCTCCCAGTCGCGCGTTATCTGCTGCATCGTCAAAACGTCATGCAACGGTAGCACGGCCTCATCATACCAAGCTCTCCTCATGCTATACAACATTCCTCGCACTATACCACCGTGCTGTTTCATGTAATAGTCAAGCTGAGGAAAAATTGCATTGAAACCTAGCGTCTGAACATTGCCTGCGTAGATGCCATGAAGAACCGCCGAAACTAAATTGACGAGATTCGGGTGCAAACGATCAGAGATGACATCCGCCACCGAAGCATCGCTTCCTTTGACAGCCGATTTATAGGGGTTGAGGGCGTCGTTCAGAATTCCGGGAATGATGCCTTTGGCCAAAGGCTCCCAGAGCAAGAATTTGGGAAGTTCCGCAAGTGAGCTCGGTACCCGGATCAAACGGTCGGGGTAATAGACATATCGATTCGTGGCCGCCGCTGAATCCCTGCTGCAAGTCAACAACTCTTCTTCCAAGCCAAGGTAATGGATCATGGCAAGAGTAACGAGTCCACTTGCTCCTGCGGGCCTGAGGGTGCGGCAGCCTTTTTCGAAAAGCACTTTACCACCAGGAACATCGACAAACTCGGAGGTAATCCAACCTCCGAGTCTGGCTTGACTCTCCAGAATGGTAATGCGGCAAGGCTCCCCTTTGGACAGTATATCCGTTGCTGCTGAAAGTCCAGTTATACCACCGCCGAGAATCGCAACGTGGTGTTTCTCCTTTTGCGGCGCGGTCGCAAAATCGCGACGCCGTTGAGCCCACGGACGCTGCAGGCCGCCAAAATTTCGGGTCAACAAGCGTATTCGCGCGCAGTCCACGTGAAAAGACATATTTGTGGACCGTTCGCATAAATCAAGAAATTTTTGAGATCAAATTGAGATAACTATTTGTTGCACCGTCACCGTCCCACATGTCCATTGCATTGGATTGGGCACAGGTACGAGGGGGTATACCGGCCACCCCTGCCAGACACCACTACAGTAAAACAGGGTTATAACGAATTAAATGAAACACGGTAAAATATTCGTTGAAACCAGGTATTCGTTAAAACCGGGTTCGTTATAACCCGGTTTTACTGTATATGCCAATGCCACTGCTATCTATATGTAATCAAAATGCATAAATAATGCAGGTCACGAGGTCAAGGAATTCTGCTTAGTAAAATTGCCCGTGGGCGTATAGGGTGGTGCCCGTCCATGGGCAATGTCGCAGTCTAGTCTCAAGGCGTCTGTTGATTGTACGAGGGCTAATATTAAGGCTGTGCATACTGCGAAGAGAGTCACATATAGCTTTTAAAGAGGCACCTGTTTGAGAGAGAGAGATAATTTCATCTCTATATGGCCCAATATCGACGGCTGGTGGCATGCTTGCATCAGAAATAGAAAGAAATGTGGGTTTAGATTAGGCGGAATATATTATGTTGTACGGTACAAAAGGCGGAAACTCTAGCGGTGAATCTTATATATGTATTAATAAGCATTGTCAAATTTGGCCCAAATACAGCGGGAAGCTGGAGCGGGAGCTAAACCAAGATGGGAATATCCACTCTTTAAGCTCCGATCGATCGCGTCTCCCTCTTCAAGTGCATCTTTCTCTCTGACAATATCTGCTGCCGAATGATTCGCTAACAATATGGAGAAAGTTGATGCGTACCAGCCCGTCGGTCCCAAGGATAAGACAGTTTTGATATTACGAGCATTCTACGCCTACCTCCCGGAAAATGGGAGGGTCAATTTCCTCCACCATCTCCAGTCAATTCAGACCAACCAACAACTGCATGATCATGCTCAGTCATTAATCGACGGCCTAGTGGCACCATTAAGATCGCTGCGCTCGACCCCAAGTATTTCCCCGCGTCTCGGAATGGAGGACTCCATTGACAATATCGCTTCCGAGTCGGCCTGGCCTATGCGAAGAGAAGCTCGCCTCAAGACAGAGTGCCTTGCCCGTGATGGCAGCAGATGTGTTGTGACTGGACTTTTCGATGAAGATTCTCTTGATGCAAGCAACACCAGCCCCTCAACATACACAGACTGCGTGCACATCATCCCGTTTTCCCTTGCATCGTGGAGCACGGAGTCTGAAGGCTATGCAGAAGACATCATCTGGACAAACCTTATCCGCCATTTTCCAACTATCCAGGCGATAAAATTCAACCGGGAGAACATCAATGATACTACCAATGCGATGACCATGTCGAGTGAGCTGCATCGGTCCTTTGGCCGGTTTGATTTTTCGTTCGAAGAGACCTCCCAGCCCCACAAATACCGCATTCAAAACTACCGCCCACGACTACGACTACACCTCCCTCGAACTGTTGCATTCAATTGGTATGACCAAAGATACGATCTTCCGCGCCCCGAGCTTCTCAAGGTTCATGCAATTATCGCGCGTATCTTTCATGCATCTGGCGCAGCGGAGCAGATCGACAAGGCCCTCCATAATCTAGGAGAGCACTGTGAACTAGCAAAGGATGGTAACACTGATATTTCTTCTATGTTGGCCGTAACAACACTAGGTGTCCTCGGTTCCCGCGCTGGCAACGTCCAGCAGACCCGGGCAGCGTTCCCAGATTCTAAAAACAAGTGCCCAGAGCGTTCAAAAGAATGTTACAAATGTGGATAGGCGGTTGGGCGAAGAACAGGCTACCTACGAGGAATATCC